TTGCATATGCAGGCACCAAGCAGCTGGGGGTGTTCCACGCTGCCCCAGCAGCTCTGGGCCTCTGGGCAGCATGGGAAGGTGGAAAGGCGGCTCTGGTCTAGAGCAAAGGTGGTGCCGGCAGCCAGGGGAAAGAAGGCCTGTTCTTGCACGAATCAGCGTGCATTGGGCCTCTAGTTATGTATAACAGGATATTGTAAAAATTAAGTTATGAAATTTTTATTAAGACTGTTTCTTACAGACTGTTATATGCAAAAATATTCGTTGTGGACCACATGTGGCCCACGGGCTGCAAGTTTGACATGCTTGGCCTAGATGTTATCTCTAGGGAGGAAAGGTCAGGGCGGGTCTGAGCCACATGACCCGATGTGAAAGGCCAGCCCTTTGGACTTGCGATATGCCAGGGGAGGAAAGGCTGCCCAGGAGGTGAGTCTGGCACCAGTTTTGCCTATTGCTAAGCATCTGGGGCTTTCTGCCCTAGTGACCTTCTGTGTCTGATGCAAATTGCTCGGTCAGGCCAGTTTGTTCAGCTGTCTGTCTCAATTTCCCCATTCCACTTGCCAAGGAATTTTCCTAGTTTCTTACTATCCTGCCTCAATTCTGTTCATACTAGTGATTCTCAAAGCTGGTTCTTCAAACAGGGTTAGTTTGGGGCCGAGTTTTTTCTTTGGTTTTATTTTGTTTTAAAGAAATGAATTTTCTCTTTAAAATTGTAAGTGTATTTAATATTTCAGCTTTTGTTTTTCTTTGGTTCTTGCATTTTGAAGCCTGTGAATATTAATTTAAGATGAATATTGCTTCAGCTGCACTACTTGGTAGGAAAAGTAACATTGCTTTTACTTATTTATTTTATTTTACTTTTTTAGTAACTTTGTTTTTATTTTTGTCTTTATTTTTTTAATATATTTTATTGATTTTTTACAGAGAGGAAGAGAGAGGGATAGAGAGTTAGAAACAGCAATGAGAGAGAATCATCGATCAGCTGCCTCCTGTACACCCCCTACTAGGGATATGCCCGCAACCAAGGTACATGCCCTTGACTGGAATCGAACCCGGGACCTCTCAGTCCGCAGGCTGACGCTCTATCCACTGAGCCAAACCAGTTTCGGCAGTAACATTGTTTTTAAATGTCCACATCTGCTAGGTCTAAGATGTTTGACAAAGTGATGAAATGTAAAAATACACCTGTCAGAATGGCCAACATCAACAAACCAACAAACGACAAGTGTTGGCGAGGTTACGGAGAAAAAGGAACCCTCGTGCACTGCTGGTGGGAATGCAGACTGGTGCAACCACTGTGGAGAACAGTGTGGAGTTTCCTCAAAAAACTGAAAATGGAACTCCCATTTGACCCAGTAATCCCACTTCTAGGAATATATCCCAAGAAACTAGAAACACCAATCAGAAAGGATATATGCACCCCTATGTTCATAGCAGCACAATCTACAATAGCCAGAATTTGGAAACAGCCTAAGTGTCCGTCAGCAGATGATTGGATCCAAAAACCATGGTACATCTACACAATGGAATACTGTGCTGCCATAAAAAAAAAGGAATTCTCATCATTTGCAGCAACCTGGATGGAATTGGAGAACATCATGCTGAGTGAAATAAGCCAATCAATGAAAGAGAAACACCACATGACCTCACTCATTTGTGGATAATAAAGAGCATTATAAACTGATGAACCAAAAGATAGATATAGAGACAGTATATCAACAAGTAGACTGTCAAATTACAGCAGGGAGGGGAGGAAGATCTGGGGGAGATAATAGATCAACCGAAGGACTTTTATACATGCATACAAGTACAACCAATGGACACAAATCTCTGGGGAGGGAGGGGATGTGTGGAAGGGAGGGAGGGGGGCAAAAAATAAATAAATAAAATATATTAAAAAATAATAAATTAATTAAAAATAAATAAATAAATAAAACTGCTTAAATCAGGGGGGGAAAAAGAAATGTAAAAATACAGTGTAATTAGTATGTTTTTTTCATAAAATGAAATTTATCAAATTTAAAAAGCTGCCCTTTATCCTGAGGTTTAGTTTTTTGGGTGTTTTAAATAGTGAAGCTCTGTCCAGTTTTGCTCAGTGATTAGAGCGTCAGCCTGAGGACCATAGGGTCTCAAGTTTGATTCCTGGTTAAGGGCATGCACTTCAGGCTCTGTCCCTGGACCAAGTCAGGGATAGAGCCAGTTGGTGTATCTCTCTAACATTGATGTTTCTCTCTTTCTCCCCCCTCCTTCCTCACTTCCTCCCTCTCTCTCTCTCTCTCTCTGTCACTCTCTCTCTCTCTCTCTCTCTCTCTCTCTCTCTCTCTCTCTCTAGATCAATGGAAATATCCTTGGGTAAGGATTAAAATTGTGTGGGGGTGTTTTTTAGTAACATCTGTATTGAGATATAATTCATAGAGTTTTGCAACCATTTACCCACTATCTAATATTGGAGTATTTTCATCACCCCCAAAACAAACCCCATACATACCTACTAGCAGTGACTCCCCAACTCTCCTTACCCCAGTCCCAGGCAACCACTAATCTACTTTCTGTCTCTATGCTTTTGCTTATTATGGACATGCCATATAAATAGAATCATACAATATGTGTCCAATGTTTTCAAGTTTCATTTATGTTATAGCATTTATCAGTACTCCTTTTTATTGTCAATTAATATTCCCTTGTATAGATATACCACTTTTTAAAAAATATGCCGGGACCGGTTTGGCTCAGTGGATAGAGCGTCAGCCTGCAGACTGAAAGGTCCCGGGTTCGATTCCGGTCAAGGGCATGTACCTTGGTTGCAGGCACATCCCCAGTGGGGGGGGTGCAAGAGGCAGCTGGTCGATGTTTCTCTCTCATCGACGTTTCTAACTCTCTGTCTTTCTCAATTCCTCTCTGTGTAAAATCAATAAAATATATTTTAAAAAATAAAATAAAAATAAGAAATATATATTTTATTGATTTTTCACAGAGAAGAAGGGAGAGGAATAGAGAGCTAGAAACATCGATGAGAGAGATACATCAACCAGCTGCCCCTTGCACACCCCCCACTGAGGGTGTGGCTACAACAATGTACATGCCCTTGACCAGAATCTAACCTGGGACCTTTCAGTCCACAGACCGACGCTCTATCCACTGAGCCAAACCGGTTTTGGCTAGATATACCACTTTTTTGCTTCTTCATCAGTTGATGAACATTTGAGTTTTTTCCACATTTTGACTATTATAAATAGTACTGCTATGAACATTTGTGTACTGCAAATTCTTGTGTGGATATATTGATTCTCTCAGATGTATAACTGAAAGTGAGATTGTGGGTGATAGGTAATATGGTAACTGTGTTTAACATTTTGAGGAACTGCCAAACCGTTTTCCACAGCAGCTGCACCATTAAAAAAAACAAAAAAAACAAAGTGTGCTTTTTTTTTAATGCTCACCCAAGGATATTTTTCCATTGATTTTTAGAGAGAGAGGGAAAGACAGAGAGAAATATTGATGTGAGAGAAACAGGTTTTTACTGTTTTCAGGGGAAGGAGATAGAAACATCCATCAATTGCCTCCTGCAATTGGGGATCGAGTCAGAAACCTGACATGTGCCCTGATCAGAACTGGGGACTTCTAGGCGCTCAGGATAAACTGAGCCACCTCAGCCAAGGCAGACCCGCCCTCTTGTCTGTGCATCGGTTTAGCCTTTGATGTCACAGAAATACAGGAGTTTGGGCTTTTAAAACGCACTGTGGGAGATAGAAATCGCAAAGATGAAGGTCTGAGGAGGGAGACCAAAGGAGACCCGAGGCTCTGAGCGAAACTCAGTTGGTTCCTGCATCTCTGAGGGGAGAAGAACTGGATGATAATGTCTGTCTGCCAGCCCACCTCTGGGCTAGGAAGGGCGATGGGAGGGAACACGGGAATACAGCAGTGGCTGCCTTGGCTGTTTTTATTGGAAAGTGGCATTTCGCCCAAAGAATTAAAACAATGAATTAATTTTATTTTTAAATACAAGCTAGATCTACTAGTAATTTCTGAGATCCCTCATCTGCTTCAGATCATTCATGTTTTTATGTGGTAATAGTGAACATTCTACTTTTTTAGAATAGGCTTTTGAGTTTGAGTTTGCATAGTTGGTGTTTAGGTTATATATTATTTATTTAGAGTCCAGAGTTTTCCTGGATGTCCCCCAGGTCTGGGATATCTGCATTGACTCCAAGGCTTTACCATTCAAGGCAACTTATCTATGAACATCTTATTGGGGTGTTTATTCTCTCTCTGAGCCTGTTTCTTTATCTGTAAAAGGGAGATATTTGAATCTGTCACTTGGGATTGTTGTGAGATTCAAGTCAAAGTATAATAATGCTATGAGAGCTTTTTACAAACTAGAGTGCACTAGGAAGAGGTATTATTTTTGTTTTTGTACAAGTGGTTTTCTTTTTTGGATTGTTTTCTTGGGTTATAGTCCCTGAAATGGGCTCAATGGTTCCAAAGAGTATGACTCATGATAATAAGTTGATTCAGAATGAATTCATTCAGAAAATAAGTATTATGTCAAAACCAGTTTGGCTCAGCAGATAGAGCGTCAGCCAAAAGACTGAAAGGTCTCAGGTTCAATTCCGGTCAAAGGCATGTACCATGGTTGGGGGCACATCCCCAGTAGGGGGTGTAAAAGAGGCAGCTGATCGATCACTCTCTCTCATCGATGTTTCTCTCTATCTCTCTCCCTTTCTCAATGTAAAAAATCAATAAAATATATATATTTTTAAAAATAAGTATTATATGTTCTCTGTATGTCCGACTCTATTCTAGGCACAAGGACTGCAGCAGTAAACAGAAGGAAACCTGGTCCTCTTGTTGGGCTGGTTTGACTTTTATTCTATAAATAGTACCTAATTATAAAAAAAATTTAATTCCTAAGTGACAGAAAGAAGAACAGTACTATTCTGTAATAACATTCCTATCATTCTGAAGTGAAATGAGAAAAATAAAGGCAATTTAGAGTAGGGTTATTTTAAAATTTTTTAATTGATTTTCAGAGAGAGAGGGAGAGAATGAGAAACATTGATCTGTCGTTTCGCTTATTTGTACACTCATTGGTTGACTGTTATATGTACCTTGATTAGGGATTAAACTCACAACCGTGGTGTTCTGGGACAATGCTCCATAAACAGCTACCTGGCCGGGGCTAGGGAAGTTTTTCATGAAAACTTGTTTATCATCCACCTTAAAGAAAGGACATAGATGGGGTTGCATCATACATACTTTATGTTAAGGTGTTTCTTTTACAAAACAATGGTGTTAATAGATGTTAGAGGGGTTTTTAAAAAGTGTGTGTGTGTGTGTGTGTGTGTGTGTATATCTATATATCTATATATCTATATATATATATATATTAATATATATTTTAATTTTATTACTTTTCCACAGAGAGGAAGAGAGGAGAGGGTTAGAGAGCTAGAAACGTCGATGAGAGAGAAACATCGACCAGCTGCCTCCTGCACACCCCCTACTGGGGATGTGCCGGCAACCAATGTACATGCCCTTGACTGGAATCGAACTTGGGACCTTTCAGTCCGCAGACCAACGCTCTACCACTGAGCCAAACCGGTTTCGGCCCTGACTGCTTTTTTTTTTTTTTTTTTTTTTTTTTTTTTTACTTTTTAAATATATATTTTATTTTATTTTATTTATTTATTTTTTTATAAGTTTTTATTTTTCATATTATTACAAATGTTCCTTTTTCCCCCCCACCATTGCTCTCCTCCACCAGGTTCCCACCCCACCCTCTGCCCTTTCCCCTCTCCCCATTGTCCTCATCCATAGGTGCACAGTTTATGTTCAGTCTCTTCCCACGCCCCCCTTTCCCCTTTTCCCCAAGAATTGTCAGTTCATGCCCCTTCCATACCTCTGATTCTATTATATTCAACAGTTCATATTGTTAGTCAGATTTTTTTTAATTTCCTTGGTTTTTAGATTCACTTGTTGATAGTTATGTATTTGTTGTTCATAATTTTTATCTTTGTTTACTTTCTCTTCTGAAAGAACCCCCTTCAGCAATTCATATAATTCTGGTTTGGTGGTGATGAACTCCTTTAGCTTTTTTTTATTAGTGAAGCTCTTTATCTGACCTTCGAATATGAGTGATAGCTTTGCTGGATAGATTATCTTTGGCTGTAGGTTCTTGCTATTCATCACCTTGAATATTTCTTGCCATTCCCGTCTGGCCTGCATGGTTTCTGTTGAGAAATCAGCTGACAATCATATAGGTGCTCCTTTATAGGTAACTACCTTCTTTGCTCTTGCTTCTTTTAATATTCTCTCTTTGTCTTTTGCTCTTGGAATTTTAATAATGATGTGTCTCGGTGTGGTTCTCTTTGGATTCCTTTTGTTTGGAGTTCTGTGCGCTTCCTGGACTTGTAAATCTAATTCTTTCACCAGGTGGGGGAAGTTTTCTGTCACTATTTCTTTCAGTATGTTTTTGATATCTTGCTCTCTCTCATCTTCTGGGACCCCCATAATTCTGATGTTGGTTCGCTTGAAGTTGTCCCAGAGGTTTCTTACATTATCTTCAATTTTCTGGATTCTCTTGCCTTCTAGCTTCTGTGGAGGAGTGTCTTCTGGCTCTTTATGTTCCAACTCTTTGACTTGATTCTTGCGATCTTCCCTTCTGTTTTTAGGACTCTGTAAAATATTTTTTATTTCAGACAATGTATTCTTTATTTCTTGTTGATCCCTTATCATTTCTTGTTGACTCCTTATTAATTCTAGTTGATCTCTTTTCATATCCTCATAGACCTTATCCATCTTTTCTAGGAAATTCTTGAAAAACCTTATAAGCGTAGATTTGAACTCTATATCCAGACGCTTTTTGTCCTCCATTTCTTTCGTTTGTGATCTATTTTGTTGTCGCATTTCGCAGTTACAGATGGGACGGGGTTTCAGGGTGGAGCCTGCAGCTTTGGCTTCCGTCAGCCCCGCCCTATGCGGGTCCTTCAGTGCTCGCTGCCGGCGCCTCTGAGAGAAAGGTGCCCTCGATTTTCGCCTGCTGCCAAACAGTCTATGCTCTCCCACAATGAGCCCGGTATTGGGGTTCAGTTCAGTTGGAAGTGGAGTTGGAGGTGGCATTCAGAGCAGTCTGGAGCCCCAGTCTCCTTCCCGTCAGGGCAATCCCCCGGCACAGCCGACCGTCCCTTCTCTGCGCTCAGTGTGCGCGCCTCCGGGACCTCCTTTCTCCTCTCCCAGGGTTCCGCCTTACAGCCTGGCTCTCTATGGCTGAGCCTGGGTCCCCAGGGCCTGGCTTAAAACGGGGGTTCAGAGCAGTCGGGGGCCCAGCACAGTTGAAGTTTTATCTCCTTTCCGCTAGGGAACGCCCGCCAGGCACTCGGCCTCCCTCCTCTCCGGCTCCGTCCTCTCCGCGGGTCTCCGTACCTTGGGCTTTTCCAGCTCCTCCGCGCCTCTTTCTGGTTTTCTCCTTGCTTCTCACTGTAGAATTTCCAGTCAGTCAACCTTCCTGTAGTTCTGGGTAATCTTTTTTAGTAGTGTTTTCACCAGGGAGGGCTGAAACTCCTGTTCTTTTTTTTCTTTTTTTTTTTCTTTTTTTTAATATATGTTATTGATTTTTCACAGAGAGGAAGAGAGAGAGATAGAGAGAAACATCAATGAGAGAGAACCATCGATCAGCTGCCTCCTGCACACCCCCCACTGGGGATGTGCCCACAGCCAAGGAACATGCCCTTGACTGGAATCGAACCCAGGACTCTTCAGCCCACAGGCCGACGCTCTATCCACTGAGCCAAACCGGTCTCTGCTGTTGGGAGTTCTTTTATTCCAGTTCTAATGAATAAGCACAAGACTGCCAGCTTGCCTCTTGACCCCTGCCCTGGAAGCTTTACAGTAGGTGACCACACCCATTTATTCCTCCGCTTTTCCTGTTGCTCTCTGGTTTCGTCAGAACTGCAGAGGATCCTGGCAGGCATGGGTGGCTCAGTGGCTGAGCAATGAACCAGAAGAAGGTTGCAGTTTGATTCCAGTCAGGGCACAGGCCTGGCTTGTGGGCTCCATCCCCAGTGGCGGGCATACAGGAGGCAGCTGATCAATGATTCTCTTTTATCATTGATGTTTCTCTCTCTCTCTCCCTCTCCCCCTTTCTCTCAGAAAGCAATAATGTAATGTGTTTGTGTGTGTCTGCGTTATTAGTGTCAGGTTCTAAAACATCCAGGACCTGTGCTTACTTGATTATCTGATGAGGGTTTAGGGATCTTGATTTTTAAAAAGTGGCATGCTTCAGAAAAGGAAGCTGGTTCTTCTGGGGACCGTGACAGGAAACTTCCCCAGTCCCTGTTTACTTCTTTTCCTCGTTGATCCGTTAGATGGTGGCTCCTACGAAGATTACCAAAACTTGAGTAAATTTGGGGCCAAAACCGGTTTGGCTCAGTGGATAGAACGTCGGCCTGCGGACTGAAGGGTCCCAGGTTCGATTCCAGTCAAGGGCATGTACCTTGGTTACAGGCATATCCCCTGTGAGGGATGTGCAGAAGGCAGGTGATCGATGATTCTCTCTCATCGATGTTTCTACTCTCTATTCCTCTCCCTTCCTCTCTGAAAAAAATCAATAAAATATATTTTTAAAAATATAAAGTCACCATTCTTAATATTGAGAAGAAAAAAAAAGGAGTAAATTTGGGGAGGAGAGTGAAGGAGCTTCATTTATGCATTCTAGTGCTTCTCAGTCAGATCCTAAAGGGGTCACCGTGGTGCGAGTTGGGTTTTCTTCCTTCTTGGGGCATGGAGAGCTGTAGCAGCGGGTGTGGAAGGGACTGGGTCTGGCGATGTCAGGGAGAGGGAAGTTCATCCCCGCTTCCTCCGAGAGGCTGCAGAGCTCTCTAGGGGGAAAGTCTCCGGATTGGTGCCTTTCTCTAACCAGCCTTTCTTCTAGTTACCTTGACTTTGAAACTGTTTCTGTGGTTTCAGATCCAAGTGAGAGCCTGGGCAGGTGGTTAATGCTTAGGCTTGGAGCCTCTTGGGTTTTGATCAGATAGAAACCTTAACTAAAAGCTGTCCCTGGGACTGGAACAGCACTTTTGGTTCTGACAAAAGTGGAGCATTTGAGTCCTGGCCGGTTTGACTCAGTGGATAGAGCATTGGTCTGTGGACTGAAGGGCCCCAGGTTCGGTTCCGGTCAAGGGCGCATATCCAGGTTGTGGGCTCAATCCCCAGTAGGCTTCCACACCCACTGTTCCAGCTCTATATGCCACAAGAATGAAGAAAACCCGACTCGCGCCACATTCTCTCTCATCATTGATGTTTCTATCTCTCCCTCTCTTTGAAATCAATTAAAAAAAAACAGAACTATTCTTTTTTTAAAGTGGAGCATTTGAAGATCTAGTTCAGAATATTCTGTTCATCAGGGCCCTGCCTTTCATGGAGAGGATCCTATAATTGTTATCTTTCCCCGTCTCTGCAGAACTCCCCTGCCTCCACCTGCCGAACCTCACTGTTGGCTGCCCCTCTCATGCACGATGAATTGCGAACTTCTAGCCACGTGCAGTGCCCTTGGGTACTTGGAGGGAGACACTTACCACAAAGAACCAGATTGCTTAGGTGGGTACCTTTCTGAGGAAACAGGTAAAAAAAAAAAAAAAAACTTGCTTGAGTTGAGTTGTGTGAATTTCTCCAGCCATGTGTGTAAAAAGCACGTGGGCCTGGGCAGAGCTTCTTCCGGGGGTGCATGCAGTGTTTGTTCTGTCCCTGAAGAGAGTGTGAAGGATTTGATCCGCTACTTGAGGCACGAGGACGAGACTCGAGATGTGCGGCAGCAGCTGGGGGCTGCGCAGATCCTGCAGAGTGACCTGCTGCCCCTCCTCACCCAGCACCGCCAGGACAAGGCGCTCTTCGACGCCGTCATCAGGTGGTTGCTCCCCACGCTTGTTCCCTTCCACCCTGTGCCAGCGTTTGCCGTTTGACGGGGTGGGTTTTGGTGTTTGTGCCTGGCGAGGAGACTTAACACCTTGTCCCTCCTTCGTCGTTTCCCCAGGCTGATGGTGAACCTGACACAGCCAGCCTTGCTCTGTTTTGGCAGTGTGCCCAAGGAGCCCAGCTTCCGGCACCACTACCTGCAGGTGCTGGCTTACTTGCAGGCCTACAAAGAGGTGAGGCTCTC